AAGAAATGTACCACACAAACCAATAAACACCAAAATACCTGAAAAGGAAGGATATGTATATCAAAAAAACAAGGCTGTGCTCTAAGGAAAATTAAAGGGAGCCCAGTGCTCTGGACCTGCAAAAACTAGGGTGCCCAGCTGCATATCATTTGTATGAAAAAACTAAGATTTTCTAGTCACCGAAGAGCACACCCCTGAAAAACATTGAATTCCTTAATTTCTGGTAACAATCATGATTAGGACTCAAATTTCTTTTACCCATACATGTATGTTAATTTTCTTTCCTACAGTGTTGTGATTCATCAAGGTCAAGTTGCCTGAAAGTCACCTGAAACCCTGTACTGCAGTTGTACAGAGCTGAAACCAGTTTATGTTTCATTGGCAGGTAAAGCACCAAGCTAATTTTTCCTCTGATTTTGAAAAAACTGGTCCAAACTGATTCAAGGATCTCTTTGAAATACTTTGGCCATTGAAGTTTATTGTCCCAAAGAATTTTTTATTGCTAAAATGGTCACAAAAACAGTAACAACAATGCCCACACATTTGTCGCTTGTACTGATATGTCACTGTAGACACCATCAGATATATATGTTGTGGTTCAATTTCATCCTTGGTGTAAATTTTATTTTCCTTTGTGTTTGGGTATGGTAGTGTATGATAATGAGTTTGAAAGAAAGGAAAACAAAAGTTAAACCAGGGATAAAACTGAACCACAACATAGACATAGAAATATATATGGGCCGGCCACCTGAGTATGCAGGCCACTATAAATACGTGGAGCCTTGCTCGTTTCACGAGAAATTATTATTATTATTATTATTATTATTATTATTATTATTATTATTATTATTATTATCTTATTGTTATTATTATCCTTATCATTATCATTATTGTTGTTGTTGTTGTTGTTATACTTTAATCTGAAGATTAATAACCAAGCTCATTTTTAAACCTTAATAACACCTACCTAATCGATGGTCCCACATAATTCTGCTCAGAAGCAGCAGGACAAAAGGTAAACTCTTTTCAATCCAGTTTATCGTGCCTTGAAACTCGACTCTATCTCCAGCAGAACGACCGTTTCCATTAGCACCACTAGAATTCCCGGCGGCCATGTTAGCATCGCCACTTTCGGCATCTCCATCGCTTGAGTTTCCCGAATTGTTGTTTACAGCGGTAAATGGGGAGACCCTGCTCGATTCTATGTCTTCTGCATCGTTTTCGTCTCTCAGAACCTCCGCTATGTTAACGTAAGTCGAAGGAGAGAGAGGAGAAAGAGGAGAACTAGTAGACGATCGAGAAGTTGGACTTCGATGGCCGAAACTGGGAACAAACTCACGAATAACCGATCTGATCGGGTTTAAAGGTGTTATAGTGATTTGCCCATTTCCTGATGTGTACGACCATGACGCTGAACGTGAATGGGAGCTTCTCTGATGAAAGGCAGATGGTGTTCTTGGACTAGGAGAATATGCTCCATGTTCCGCCATGTTATTTAATGACGCATTTTTTTGGTGTATGTCTTACTTGACCAAGATTTTTGTCATAGAAACGCCGCTGAATGCTGGCAGGCGGCTCTGCTTGCATTGTAGGCTTGGCTCGGAGTACTGGTGCGCAATCGTTTTATCTCATTTTTAC